TTTTCCTTAATCAGAGACAACAGAGGACTCTGGGAGATAGTGAATATTGTTTTATCCCCCCACCCTATTCTATAATAAACTTGCTATTTCTACATATTTGACTTTTGGGAATCAAATTAAAACTATTTTATTTTGTCCATTACTATATGCATATTTATGTTAAAATTATTTTTATTTTTAAAAAATCTTCTTCCCTTCCTCATAAGGCTTTTAAGATTTAAGAAACGAGCATGAATTGAGTAACACTCAAAGGGAAAAAGGGGGACAAAAGGATTCTATTTTTGTTTTTTGGGGGGATTTCTTCCAAATTTAGCCAACCTTCTGTTCCATCTGGAGATGACAAAGGAGCCTAGGAAATTCTCTCCTGACTGGTGTAAAACTGTCTTCCAAGTTAGGATTATTAAGATCAGGTGGGTAAAACGGAGAAAAAAATGACCATTGCGGCTGACAGCAGTATCTGGTTTCTTACAGCGATGGGAGCCCATAATGCTAAAGTCCAACATTTCTCTCCTCTTTTGCCCTCACCTGTTTACAATATTTTATATTAATTGTGTTGGAATGCTTTTAACCCACTCTAAAAGGACACACCACACCATAGTTTTACTCCGGATTCGGTTCCGCACCTGGAGCTAGGGATAAGCAGACTTTGTGCAGTCTTGAAATTACTTTTGGCAAACTCGCCTCTTCTGTCCAACATGAAATGCTACTTCAGGACAGAGGTGGAAATCAAATCTTCTCTCTTTGAGAGATTTAACTAGCAATTGGGCTATGGTTTTGTCCACAAAAACCAAAACCAAAACCAAAACCAAAAACAGATTGCTATGGTGACCCAACTTGGCTCTTGGCAAGGATGAACACTTTGTACCAGGAAGTGCACCACCGGAAGTGCACTGCCGGAAGTGACTTCTGGGAGTGTTATCTTCCAGAATCTTTACATGTCCTTCAGTCTACCAGAGCGTTGCCTGTAGAAACCTTATTTTACCATCAGAAGATTATTTTTGGAGTCCAAAATTTAATAAGAGCTATTTTATGACATTGTCATTGCTCTTGAAGCACCAAAGTGACAACCCAGGATTCTGGAGTCATAGAAATGATACCGTTTGGGCATCTGGCAGACAAATCATTCAGGGACTACAAGGTGGCATGGTTTAAAGTGGAGGGGAGAAGCAGTGAGAATCAGCAGTGGCAGGTGCTGATGTATGGATGTGGGTCAGGCTCTCTTTTTGTAAATTTGTTCACAGTATTCCATATGATCCTCATGGTGGCCCTAAAAAGTAGGTATTAAGTCAGGTATCTGTGGTTGTAATCCTAGCTATTCAGGAGGATCACGGTTTGAAGCCAGATTGGGCAGAAACATCTGAGAGACTATCTCTAATTAACTATGCACACACACACACACACACACACACACACACACACATACACACACACACACACACACACACACAGAGCACCAGAAGAGGAGCTATCACTCATGTGATAGAGCTCCAGCCTTGAGTGAAAAAGCTAAGGGACAGTGCCCTAGGACCGGCATTTCATCCCCATATACACATGTACATGCACGCGCACACATACACACAAGTAGGTATATATTTCTGAGGATGAGGCTTAGGGACATTAAATAATTTTTCAAACTCAATAGGGAGGAAGTTGGATCTAAACTCTATTTAGATTCCATTGTCTATTGAAAATACAGAGTTGAATTGGCTTTATCAATAATACAGATTATAAAACATTAAAATACAGCTCATGAGACTGAGTAAGAGAGAAAGAGATGTAGGTGGACCACAGTGGGGCTGGTATGCATAACTGTAAATCCTAGTAACATTGCCATGATTGCCATCCACCCATCACTCAGTCTTTCAGCAGTCCTGTGACCTTGATACTTCTAATTTTGTCCTTTATCTAAGCAACAAACAAATGAATGCTTAAGAGAAATATAGAACTCCCTAAAGTTAGAAAATGTTTTCAGAGTGTTTGAAATATATATATATAATATATATATATAGCAAATGAACACGAACATTTTCTTTCAGAGGAAAAGAGATTGTAGACAAGTGAATTAAGGTTTATTTTTGTGCCTCTGGATGATAAGTTCTTGCCAAACTTGGCTCAGAGAAGGGATCCTAATGAAGAGCTCTTCTTAGACTGAGAGACCATGCAATGCTATCACACCCTCTAGACTTTTCTGATTTTGTATCTGTAAAGCACCAAACTGTTTTGAAAATTTCAGTGTGAACAGACTCAATGATATATTCAGGGCTTCCAGACACATTATGTTTGCTGTGGTTTGACTATGTCCCTCAAAAGTCCAGGAATTGGAAACTCAGTCCCCAGTACAAGAGTGTTGAGAGTTTTTCTTCCTGGATGGATTAGCGCTGCTTTGTTGGAAATGGGTTGGTTATCTGGGGAATGTATCCTGATAGAAAAGTTTAGTCCCTTTCCTGCTCTTGCTCCTTGCTTTTCTGCTTTCTACTGTAGATGGATACATCATGAAGGTTCTCACCAGATAGGGCCCGTGGATGTTGCACTTCTGAGTTTATAGAATTATGAGCCAAATAATAACCTTCTGTTCTTTAAAAAGTACTCAGTCTGTGGTATTCTGCTATAACCACACAAAATGGACTGAGATGACACTCAGCGAATGAGAGTTAAATAAGTGAGTCAATCCATAAATGAACAAATAAACCAGGTGCCTGAATGTGGCAAGATGAATCTGGCATCCTGTACTGTGTTATGGTAAATTCTGCATCCACTAATTCAGTTTTTATCTTGCTCAATCATAATAGCCAAAAACCTCTAAAGCCAGCATGGTGGTGAGGCTTACAATCCTAACTACTCAAAAAGTGTATGTGTGTGTGTGTGTGTGTGTGTGTGTGTGTGTGTGTGTGCGTGCATGTGTGTGTGTGCTTGAGCATGTGAGCATGCTTGTTTTTACATACATCTGTACTTGGGTTGTATGTGGCAGGCTGGGACTGCCTTTATTCATTAGAAAAATACCCTGGGCATTTCCCCATAGCTACTAGCATAGAACTGAGCTGTCAAGGGAAGGCCAGAGAAGGACTTTCCTAGAACTCCTCCTTGGGCCAGTTGTGGTTGCTCTTTGTGGTGTGGTTATAGCACAAGTGTGAGGGTCACGGGAAGGGCCACCTGGATGATGAGTCACAGCAGAGCCGACAGAGGAAGGGTCAGGAGGGAATCTGAGCAGGGAGGGCCTGTCATCCTCACGAAGATGTGTGCTCAGGGCAGATGGCGCTCCCAGGAGGCCTCATGACTCTGCTAAACCCGCATAGCTGTCAAGCCACGAAGATACTTACTTAGAAGGATGCTTACAAAGGGTTTTCAAAGGTATTCTGCAGTGTTAAAGATTTTCATTTTGTCTCCGTGAACGTCACCCATTGAACCACATGCAAGTTTTTTTCCTACTACTCACATATGAGGAAAATTTTGAGATGCTGTTTGTATAAACCCTCTGAGATAATGTCAGAGGAGACACAGAGACTTCATTTGACTTGGTCTCCAATATTGGCTAACTGAATGATCTTGCCCCTTTCCTGCATATTGTCTGTTAACCCCTCAAGGGCTTTGTGTGGCCTAGGGTGTTTCTCCTAGCTCTGGACATGCAAAGGGAGCATGATTTCCTTTAAATGGATACATATATAGTGGAATGTCTTTGGCCTTAGTGCTTACTTGATTGCATTCAGACATTCCTTTGGAAAGGAAATGGCTGCACTGAATTAGCATCAGGCACAGTGAATGGTAATCGCAAGGCTGTCATTTCTACAAGTGCAAAATTAATGGGTTCTGCAAGCTCATTCCATTGTATGCCACCAGAAAACCACAGAACCATGTTGTTCTGAGCAGAAAGACACAGTGTAATAGCACCATTGATGTGCAATGCCATTATTCTCCAATAGTGTTCTTTCCATCTTTGCTGGGGTCTCATGCTCATTCTTCAAACCCTGTCGGATCCAATTTGTATGCTCATATTCTAGCCCCACCAGAGTAGCCTGAATGTACAGAGAATGCTGGGGAACAATTCCTTCTTCTGCGTATGGCATCTTCTGTGAATAATGCCAGCGTTAACAACTCTCCATGCGTTCATGAGAGTAGGAGGGGGCTACTTATGTAAAACTTCTCAGTGAGAGATGCATCAACCACTTACCGGTAACGTTGCTCAAATGCTCTGCATTCATTTAGAAAGAGAAGAGTGATTTACAGGCATTTCTGGAGGTGCTTAGGAGAAGTGCCACCTGCTGTTCTTTTTACCCTTCTTGTTTACATAGAGGGGGATTCAGCAACAGACCAGTGGAGGGAATTTCTTCTAGTCTCATGGGATGACAGAGTATATCCCAAAGAAAATATGTGCGTGCATTGGACTCTTGTTTCTACTCAGTGACTTTGGAATTTATTGGGAGTACCAGGGCTCCTCTAAGGCTGGAATAATACAGTAGTATTATGCTCTAAGCTGGCCCCTTAGACCTATTTCAGCATCCCCATGGTTTAGCACCAGCTGAACCACTCATAAACTTGGCTCTGATTAGGTGACAGTGACTGACCAAAGAAAATTTCCTGTGAGCACGGCTTGAATCCAAACTCAGTGACTTGAGGGTATCTATCCCCGAGCTCTTTGTGCTTCATTGGCTGATTCATACCAGCAACTGCTCAATCCATTCGTTGATTGATTGGTGCTCCTCTGCGGGAGGATGGGGCCTGAAGGCCTCTTCAGACTCTGTTTGTTTGGTCACTCACTATTAGGATGTTGACCAAGCTCTTGGCTTTGTCATGTCAATGTCAGAAGGTGGGGGAATTTTCTATTGCACTCAAAGCTTCTTTTAATGAATGATTTGGGAAACCTCCTAAGTAAGGCCTGGGAGGAATTCTGCACATCTCAGCCTCAGGATAAAACACCCTTTGGTCCTGCTGGAAACACCATTGGGCAGATAAATGGGGATTCCCTGGATGTCTTTAAAATAGGGGAGAAATGCTTTCTGCCTTACCTTTGTTGCAGAAAGTCCCATCATACGGCGTGTGAGAGCAGTCGCAGGAGTAGCCGTGGTACTTCTCGATGCACTTGCCTCCATTCTCACAGTTGGCTCCATAGCTGGTACAGTGGCCGGAACATCCTGATTTGAACCCGGATGTGACCTTTGCTCTTTCTTCCAGGTCAAGTGTCACTCCATTCATCCTCAAGGAGCGGATACAGCCCAGGAAGCCCTGCTGCCCTCCAGCCCCACCTGGAATGACAGAAGAAGGTACAGAGGTCACAGGAGGCAGCCTCACCCAGTGCTCTTTTCATTCATGTTTTGAACATTTGTGGTAGGAGAGGAGGGAACTGTATGTAGTCTTGGCATTTCCAAGTTAGTCCTCCCTAAGGGGACAGTGTTGAAGCTTTTCCCTTAGGCAATAATGCCTGATTAAAAGAGACTGCCTTCTGAGAAGCCATATACTTGCTACAGAAATAAAATATTTGGAGCTATCCAAAAATGTAGAAAAAGGGCTTTACAAAAAGCTTTGGTTTCTCTGGTCTTTAGTCTCACAACAACATTCAGTTCTACACATTATCTATTACAAAACAAAAATATGAGGGCAGAGTCATGAATATATTAGCATAGATAACAAGTCAATTAGTCAGAAGGCATAAATCCCTCTGAAATGTGATCATAGATCCTGAGTATTTTTTCACCGAATGCTTTGCTTTGAGTTGAACGCGAAGGGTATCAAGAACTTTTGTCCAGGCTAGCTAGAATTGGAATTAATCATTCCACATCAAATTCAGCTACATCAGATTTGTCACTAGATCAGGTTAGATTTCACTGCTTCTGTCTAAATGTCATTGCAAGACATAGTGCACCATACCACGTTCACTGTGACTTTTGGAGTATGTTATAGAGTTAGCCTGAGATTCATGAGCATGAAAATATTAAAAATTTCCTAGTAGAGCTCACAGAAGGATTCACTGAAGCATTATGTCACAAGGAGATTTAATTGTGTCTGTAATATCCTCAGCTGAATCTTTTTTTTTTTAAAGCAGCTGGTAGAAGAGGAAGAATTCAAACATATATATATATATATATATATATATATATATATATATATAAAAATGCATCTTAAATAATGCCTTTTTTTGTACTGATCCCAAATGAATAGTGGGTAAAAATTAGAAAGATTTAGAAAGACAAAGAACCCAAATCAGTCTTGTATTTCAATTTGTTGGTATATGTTATTCACATGACCATTACAATAACCTGATTGCACAGGTAAGGAAACTGAGGCTTGGAGAAGCTAGGATGTTTACTTCAGGACTCAGCCTCCTAGCTGGGCTCTGGTGACTCATTTGTAATCCTAAATACACAGGAGGCTGTGACTCATCTGTAATCCTAAGTACACAGGAGGCTGAGATTTGAGAATTGCAGTTTGAAGCCAACTGAAACAGGAAAATCTGTGAGACTCTGATCTCCTCTAAACTACCCCAAGATCTAGAAGTGGTGCTGTGGCTCAAGTGGTAGAGCACTAGCCTTGAGCAAAAGAAGCTCAGGGATAGTGGCTAGGCCTTGAGTTCAAGCTCCAAGACTGGCACACACACACAAAATGGACTCAGCTCTTATGTGACAAAATAGTATCAGATGTATCAGATTCTTAAGTGTATTGCCTTGATTGACTAGTGTTGACAAAGAAAGACCTGTGGGTCAGGGACTGCATAGATGTACGTATTCTGTGATATAGATCTGGATGACTTCAAAAATGGAGCAGTCAATAAGGCTGTTAGAGTTTGAGAAAGAGCACTAGGCTAGGGACCAATTCTGATCACTTAGTCTGTTATCCTGAGCACAGCCCAGTGTCCTCAGCAGAGAGACAGATGGATCAAAGGCTTCAGGCCCAGGAGGTACCAGCATCTGCTGTGCCCATAAGTTCTCATCGGTGAATGGGATGGCAAACAAATCCGTCTCTTGTCTCTTTTAAACTCAAGCTTTGTACTGCTCTTATTGGGCACTGTGTTGATTTAAATAGTAATACTCCAGGGAGTATTTTATTTTATTTTATCATTTTTAAAGTAAAAGATTGAGTAGTGGATTAATTGAAGACATTCCAATGCGTTTTTGGATCAAAGCTATGAGATAGTAGATGGCAAAATAAATGATTAAAAACAACCACTTTGAAGAAGTTTCCGTTTTGCCATCTGCTTGTCTGCCCAGCTTCACACCTCTGTGCTGGAGAGAATTATGGCCTCTGCCTGATTTTGGAAGAATTTCAAACCTGTCATCACTCTTTATATTTTAGAATTCCAATCTGGTTTCTATCATTTTAACCATTATGGCATTCGTACTTAAAATATAGGTTTTCTGAAAGACCTTCTACATAAATGTATAGTATTTGAATTTTCCCTACTAATCAACTTAGACAAATATCACTTATCAAAATGGGTAAAAGCTTACATCATTGTTTCTAGATATTCCCTTATTTTTTGCCTGAATATTAATATAATACTCATTGTGGAAACTGTTAACCTACCAATAAGCAAATGCAAAAGATGTGATGTGATTCAGATATAAAATATCTCTATTTTTAGGAACCAACATTTTCTATGTTGATCTATGGACACACTCACACACACACACACAAAGAAATGGGGTCATAATATACACATTCTCACATCGGCTTTCTGTACTTAATGCATTATGAAATATTTTCTAAGCAGTACAAGTACAACCAGAATAACTTGTTTATTTTGTTTATTTTGCCCCTCCATTACCAATGGAAAGCTTTTTAACAAGTTTTGTTTTGTATGATAGTGTACTAATATGATACATATACTAAGAAAACTTGGCCTATTTGTTCAGGTTTTTGTTAACTCAATCCCTTAGAATTAATTAGTTACACTTCTCATTATATTTTTTGCTGGGCACAAAGACATATACATTTTGAAGACACTTGAAATATATTTTCCTCTGAAAAGGATTGACCCATTTACATTTTGCCAGTAGAATAAAATAACTACTTCCTCCATACTAGTTCTGACACTGGGCCATATTCCCTTGAATTTATGTCAAGTCAATTGAATGAAAGGACATGGAATTTGCATTTTAATTTACATATTAAGAGTCAGATAATTTTTATATTTTCTTTTCTGTGTGTGTATGTGTGTGTTTGTGCACGCATGCATGCGCCTGTGCGAGTGCATGCTGGCACTAGGGATTGAACTCACACCAGGGTGCTTTTTCTCTCTAGGCTGGCACTGTATCACTTGAACCACACCTTTACTACTTAGGTACTCAGTTGGAGATCAGAGTCACAAACTGGCTTTAAACTTGGTCCTCAGATCTCATGGAATAACTAGGATTACAGGACCTAGCCTCCAGAGCCTGGTTTCTATTTCTGTTTTTAATTGCTAATTTATGATCTGGTTTGGAAGGGGGATAAGAGAGGGTGTATTTCTTACTAATAGGTTTGTATTTATATCTGTCACGTTGTTCATATCATTTAACTCACATAAGGTGTTTTCTTTTTCCATCTGAGGTTTTGATTGGTTATATCTATCTATCTCATTCAGACAATTTCTGCCTTGGATATGAGGCTCATAAAGATCTTCTCTAATCTAAATTAATATAATCATTCAACTCTATTTTCTTCTAATATTTTTGAGATTTTACTTCTCTAAGGTTTTTTTTTTTGTTGTTGTTATTGTTGTTGTTATTGGTTTTAGGGCATAACTCAGGGCCTGGGCGCTGTCCCTGAGCACCTTTTGCTCAAAGCTAGCACTCTGCCACTATGAGGCACAGTCTCACTTCTGGTTTTCTGGTGGTTAATTGGAGATGAGTCTTGTGCACTTTCCTGCCTGGGTTGGCTTTGAACCTCAATCCTCAACTCTCAGTCTCCTGAGTAGCTAGGTTATAGCTGTGAGCCACCAGCACTCAGCTTCTCTAGGTCTTTTATTTTTTTAAATAATCTTTAAGTATTTGTACAAAGGAGTTAATGAATATAATGCATCTTGATCAAAGTTATCACTTTCAACATTCTCATCCATCCCTCCCACTCTACCCCTTCCCTTACTTTTCTTAATTTTGTAGGATAAGCATTGAATTCTTAACTGTATTCCTCAGCCCCCTCTCTTTGTTTTAATGGGACATCAGCAATGACTGGGAGTTTGGAGAGATTTTTTAAAAAAGATTTTTTTAAACGAATGTTAATTTGACACGCAACAGAATTTTTAGGAGAGTCAATTAGCAGAGCAAGTAAGTCTAGATTAGAGCCTATCTTAAGTCTATCATTAAGACATAAACTTAGTATAGTCTAGTGCATAGCACAGTATATGTTGAGCATATGTACATGTGTCTCCGGTGTGTGCTCATTCTACAGATGTTAGTTAGCAGCCCAGTTTCCTTGCTTTCTGTCTCTGTGTTAGCTCTTTTTTGAGGCTCCACATCTCTATCTGCCTTCCTGTCTTTGTGTTTGTGTGTCCCTTTCAACGAGCATCGAGGACTGCTCTAGTTGAGTGGTTTTTATCACAGGGCTGAATCTCTCTCAGCATGAGGCTTCCCATCCCGAGCAAAGGGGGCGGGGCTGGGTGATGTCTTAGTTCTTCCAGGTCTAAGCTGGTCTTGCCCATGATTTATGAAGGCTCCCTTTGTATCTCCCTCTGGATTTCAGAAAAGGACTCTCGGTTTCTCTTCAATTTATTTTTCTTTCTTGTGATACATTTTTCTCTCTCTCTCTCTCTTTTCTTCCTTTCTCTCTCTCTGACAGTTTGGGGCTTGAACTCACGGTCTGGATGCGTCCCTAAGCTTCTTCAACTCAACGCTAGTGCTCTACCATTTGAGCCACAGCGGTACTTCCGGTTTTCTGCTGGTTAATTGGAGATAAGAGTCTCATGGACCTTCCTGCCTGGACTGGCTTGGAAAAGTGATCCTCAGATCTCAACCTCCTGAGTAGCTAGGATTACAGGTGTGAGCCACTGGTACCTGGCTTTTTCTACACACACACACAAACACACAAACACACACACACACACACACACACACACACACACACACCTGCGCGCACGCACCATAACATGGTTATAGTGTAATTTGCATTTGTTCCATTCACTAAACTATATAAAGTTTTTAACTTTCTCCTCTTAATTTATAAAGCAGGTGAGTAAAATGCCATTTCTCTCAAAACCAAGTCAGTTAAGCTATTTTCTTCCTTAGATAGCCCCTGATTTATTTCAATGGATCATTGAGCTGGAAAGTCCTTT